CAGTCTATTATCTTCTTCTCTGTACAGCCCAACTTCTTCTTTTTCACTGCTTTCATTTCTCCGGATAACTTTTTATCCGCTATTCCTTTTCTTTGATTATCTCTGTTCTTTTCTTGATACCCACTCCTTATACTTTCCAGAATTTCTCACACGTTGTTCCTACCTGTTTCGTATTTTTCTTAACGTATTTCCTTCCAAGTTTCCTGCCCCTCTAATAATCTCATCCTTTTCAAAAATGTCGGTGTACCGACGGAGTCCAATTTTTTCGTAGTAATGCCGTGTAAAGAAGTTGTTCATTGATGCAGACTGAATATTTTAATACTTCATTATACACGAAAATCATATCGTTCCTTAGAAACGTTAATAATTTGCAAATTAAAAATAACGCGAAAATAAGGAGAACCTTTTGGTTAAGAAAACAATTGAATGTTACTGATTCATTTATAACTGCCAAAATTTTGTCCACCAATATTGCCGTATTATTTTGAGAGAACATTAATGATTGGATTACAAAAAATTATTTAGTTTCTGCTCATTCAATTGTTCAAAAGTCTGTTTAATAAAAAATAATAAGAAAATACAAAAGAATATTTTCTCATAGATTATTAAGCTTCCAAGGTAATTGCATTTGAAAATTTAGCTGACAAAAGAATCGGCTGGCATGTCTGTTCATAGTTTACCGTTCCTACGTCCTGCCAACTCAGCCGGATACATGTCAAACATTCCAAATCTGTTATCTACGAGGTAAAATCTCCTAAAAAGAAGTTTTATTCTATACTTTCTACTAATATTTTTATACGTATATAATGAATTAATCGCACGTTAAATTCCATAAATGGTATTAATGAATCTTTAAACAATAAAACTGTAAATTTTCTAAAAAATTCAATAGAAAAGTTCATTATTTCGCTATCGTTTATTTCCTCAACAAGTACGCTTACGTTATTTATGTTGATTATACTCGTCATCACTTAAAGTTAATGAAGCACACCTATGCGTTCACTTCTAAAAATAAATAAAGCGCTTGAAGGGTTAAAACTGACCAGTGAAATGCAAACACACCAGGAATATATAGTTCATCCTATTTCTACCCACGCGTTTGCATAGCGCCGTACATATCGATGCGACCCATTGGCCAGCTATGTTGCCTCTTGCTACAATCTACCGTTCCAGGAGTTTACTACGAGATTACCGTGAAATCTGGACCACTTCACCTCGCGTATCTGTCCGAAAAGGATGATACAACTTCTCTGGCTTTAACGGCAGAAAGGCAAAGCCGTGAGATTAAGCAACTTATCTATGTGTACGGGATAATTCCCAAATCGTAATGCGACAGTAGAAAGGCTTTTTCGATGTGAACAATTATGTATAAAAGTATAAAATAACATTTCTTCGTATGATTCGTATGGAAGTACGTTACATCGAAGAAATCACGTACGAAAATTTGTTAAACGTGCGTGTTACTTAATAGGAATCGGGTATCATGTTTTCTTATTTTTAGTTCCTGTAAGTATTTACTAGTACCTATGCATTCGAAATCGAATAATTCGGAAATTAATTTTTATGGGAGAAGATTGCATATTCTGGACTTATTTTTTTATGTAAATTCACGCTCTTGCTGTTCGTGCGATAATTTCTATTAATGATTTAGCTATGTAAGTACTATATGTAGTGTGCTGCTATGCAGGATGTCCCGTTTTAACACTAACCATACCGGCACTTTTCCTACCAGTCAAATAACTGGCTACAAAATAGAGATAAACAAATTAGATGATAATTAAATTCTCAGATTTATTCAGAATTTTATTCAAAGTCATAGTACACAGAGTAACAGGACACAATATATTTAATAAAATTCAACGTAACAATTACTAGCTATAACACGCACACATTTTGATGGCTTACACAAGAGTGAACCGTCTCCGATTATATTCTGTTATTCTAGTTAATAACTGTTACTGTTATCTTTTTGAAAATAATAATTCTGTATAAATAATTTTACCGACCGCTGTCGGTAACACGTTTCGACAAAAATGAAGCATCGTATCGATAATTGTCATTCTATACTTTTGACCTACTTTTGCATGAAGAATCACTTTAATACAATACTTATCACTTTTTAGACATTCAGTAGAGCAATTCATTTCCAATATCTGTTTTGAGAAATATTGTATTCGTTAAATTTAAACATATTCTTAAATAGCAGTCTTAATAACGTACGCGGTAACAAATATTTCTTACAATACTCTAGTAATTTTGAAAGGCTTCGTCCTTCGAAAGCTAAGCTTACTTAAGCTACTTTATGTATTAGTTACATACCAATAAATGTAATTGTTTACATAATAAACTAAATTTTCTTTGTTACATATAAATGCAAGTAGTTGATTATAAACATTCCATTGCAAGGTATAATCTGTCAAAATTTCATCGTAATACATTAAAATATTTTAAACATTAAAATTATCAAAGTAACTTGACAATTACTTCCATCACGACGAATACATGTAAAATGAATAAAAATATATATAGTATTAAAATGAATAAAAATATAAAATGTAAAAAATATGTATAGTATATGTAAGAAAGAAATAATATACGAGATAAGAAAAATATATAAAGACACTTTCCAACAACATAATTAAATTTATTAAAGATTCTGTCAAAGAACAATTCCTAAAATGCTACGTTCTTATTCGCCTTTTTCTTAAACGCGTTCCATTCCCCATACCAAGAAATAAAAGTATTCATAAGAGAAGAATATGTTTTATGGTTTCGTCAACAGGATCAATGAGACAGAGTAACGTCAAAGTGTTTCACTTCGTTCGTTTAAACTCATACAGGGAACTACTCTGATTGATAATTGAATAGAATTCAGCAATTATTGGAGAGTCGCGGAGACGTACAGTTCCTCTTTGTATCCAGCAGTAACTGTGCAAACAATCGCAATCTGGGTCGCTTAATTTCATATTCCTTCGAGAAACTTGTAAATCGTTAGCTTTACTCAGCTATTCCAGAACCATGCAAATTTCACGGTGGAACTTCTTTCTTATTGACCAATAGGTTTATGCAAACGGAAGTAAACTCGCGTGACAAAAATTCCGAGTGGACAGGAAAACAAAGTGGAAATAATACGGCGAACAGTTGCGCTCCGAAGGTATTTGGGGCGCAATGCTACAGACGAATTTCGAATCAGTCAATACCGCTTGGAAAATTTGTATTACTCAACTTTTCCTCTTCTAAAAACAAGAGGAATGTAGAAACATTTCATGAAAGAAAAGCTTACACATTCAACTTGTGAACTATGGAATTTAGTTTGAAAAATCTCTCATCGTGCGCGCAATAAAGTCAAGCAATGAAGTATACAGTCGTCAAACTCGGTGAGAATGTACCTATAATATATTATAACGAAAAACTACATCCAAACGAAGAAGAATTACATGTGCATCAAATTAATAAATGTCACCCTATGAATACAAATTAACAATGTATTCAATAGTCTTGATCATTTTATTGAAACGAACATATTTTATAACTGTGAAGTTACGATGATGTCGAACGTTTACGACTGTGCGTATAAAAGTTAAGTTGATTCATTATTTAATTTCATTCGTCATATCGCGGTGGAAAATTAAGTAAATTAGTTTAATCCAGTATATGGATGAGTGACTTTAAAGTCACACGAGCCTATGGAGGGTTAACACGTTGACTGCCATGGGAATTTTAAACGTTTCGCATAATAATACTTATTCTTTCATAACAAAGCCAAATGATATTAGAAATGTAGGTATGGGTGTATTGACGAGTGTAGGACGAATAATAATTAATGTAATCGATATAATGATTTGCGTGTGTTTTTGTATTTTGAATGTCGTATGTTATTTTTCTGGTAATCTGTCAATTCGATCCCTATATTTATATCAACGGGTCAGCGTGCGTGTGTATGTAATATGAATAAATGTTCAATACGTTGGAATATTTTGAGTTATTGATTTTCCAAATACACTTGAAGTTAACGCATGTGACGAAAGAATGTTCTAGAAGATGTGATAATGAGATGAATGTATCCGAACGTATTTATTGCGTGTGTGAACAGATATTTGATCATTGTGTTATTATACGTCGTATGAATAAGTGATCAAAATATTGTTTGCATTAATAAAATTCTCTTTCTCCTACAAAAATAATTATTAATAATTTAATATCACAGTATTCATGTTACAGTGTTGTCTAGCTACACACTTATGTTACTAAATATTTTTATTCGACATCAATTTTCTTATTGCAATTGTGTTTAAACAATTTGGAAGCTGCGGTCATCGTTGACCACCGTGACAATCAACGTGTTAACAAAAAAAAATAATAACAGTAACATTTCAGGAAACAAAAGTAAATTTTATTCTATGTCACTAAATCCGAGTCACGTAAATTAATATCGCGGATAAAAATGTTGAAATTCGCGCTAACTGTAAGGACAATGTTCGTTAGGATATAGCGTTTCCAGTGTTATGACGAAACTCTTTATTTTCACTGTAATTAACGCATTAATAAATTAATCAACCGACAAAACAATATCACGGAAATAATATAATTTACCACGTACAAAAAAGACTGGCGTGCAGAAGTACTGCGTAAATGGAGTGACACGTATACGCCACAATAAATATTTATGCACAGTTTATAACAACAAACAACTAACAGAAAATAATCCTGTATCGGCTTCGTTGCTACAGTGCACATAGGCTTTGTTCCTTCTTTCACAACTTTCTACTTCCTCTCAATAAATTTCTCTCGAGGTTCTGTACGAGACTGGTCAATGCCGATCCGCACATCCGGATAACACACTCGAACGGTTCTATACTTTTCCTATATTTTTATCTAATCTCGACGTTCTATCCTATTCTTTTCACATTTACTTTTCCAGCCTTTTTCGCCTATTAGTCGCTAAAAACCCTGACGGGTTGATGTAACTGTAAAAATCAAGTAAAAAAGAAATATGTTCCCTTTTACCTGTTCTTCCCTAATGTTTCCAACTTCCTCCTTTTCAGGACTTCCAAAAGAAAACAAAGAAATGAAGTGACACTTGTCTCCGTTTAAAGGATATTTTCACCCTGAAGGATCAAAAAAGACCAAAAACGATTACTTCGTATTTTTATTGGAGATCTCTGCACACTTCGAAAGTTGCAAAAACAAACCGAATTTTTCGGGTTACCGCAGTTCCGTTGTTATTGTGTTTTAGAACACCGAATATGTTTATTATGCAACGTGTGTTTTCAAAGTTACATGTTACAAAGTTTCACTTATTTTGTAGTGCCACAGTCGGTAAATGTTTACGAAGAGAGAGTCACTTTCGGTTTCGATGAGCTTTTAACACATTTGCGACCGCTGACGTGGGTTTACGTCTTTTCAAATTCTATCCCTATAAAACATTTTATTCTTCTGTTCTTTTCCATCTGCGACTTCTTTAACGGAAAGTTTTTCATTTTAAACAGATGCTTATAAAACCAATATTTCAAAACAAATATTCTACTTCTCGTCCGTGTTTTAGCGTCAGACATATGCGGCAATCAGCTTAAAATTTTCTTCATTTTCACCGGCAACGAGTATTACAAAGGCAGAAAATGTGCCAATCGCGAAAGTGTTAATATGTTACTAAAGTCGTTACTCTGAGCAGTACAGTGGATATTTTAAGCGAGGGATTTAATCAAATTTAGATGAAGAATTAATGAAAATGTTCTCAAGAAGTATTTACACAAAGATGCACAATTTTTCGGACACCAGTTACATTTAATAGAGAACACGTAAATTTCTCGAACTCGTTAGTTATATTCATAATCATACTTTACTTCTATAAAATTCAAAATCTAATCTTCCACCAGACACATGAAATTTTATTCGAATATTCGCTTTTCAAATAGAAGGTTCAAAATACCGTATAAAAGCGATTTTAATAAAAATCCACCGTTAACAATGGCAATAATAAATGCTTGGATACTCGCAAGCCATTACGAGTCGCATTGATGCAGCAACGAGCGAGCACCTGCGCAATTGCAAAACGCGATCGCATTATTCCACCTACTCCTTTCTATAATCTCACGAGTAACCAACAAATTATTCCCATTACAACCAACAAAGCTCAAAGTAAATTATTCATTTCACCACTCAGCGTATACACAAATTATATGCAAATTGATACGAACAGTATCGCAGAAAATGTCTCGTTTCATTCGACAATTGTTCCACCGTCCACATAAATCTCCAATCTATAACACAGGTAGCCGTGTTATATAGGAACGGAACGACAAACGAACGAAGCAAGAAACCGAGAGATCCGTCTCCGTGAAGTTACCCGAGCGTGAACCCGGCGGTGTATTAATCTAGCCGCAAGAAACCTGGACGAATTTATTGTAGCCTTGAAGGGGATACAGCATAATAAAGGGAGCGTATTACTCAAGCGTTTACATATTAATCGAGGTTAAAGAAAAGAGAGAACAGGTGGTCGTTTATCCCGAGAACGGCTCGTGCAAGGGTTTATCCTCCGATACCGTTATAACGACGTGCTCGTGCAATTTCCCTCGCGTCGTCACGGCACCGAGGCATATTGCGTTTCCCAGACACGCGAATGATGTATGGTCCTCCGGGTGTCAAATGGAGGCGGAGACAAGACACGGTAGAAGAAGAACCGTCTCATGGCAAGGAAAACTTACCCACGCAGGACTTCCCATCGGATGACAAGGCTTTTTCGTCACCGTCGCAGGCGCAAAAGAAGCTACCGTCCGTGTTCTCGCAGACCTCCGTGCAACCCCCGTTGTCTACCGTGCACTCGTTGATATCTGCAAGCAGAAAACCGAGTTCCGTTTATGCATGAGAAACGCATCGCCACAATTTAAATATGCTCGCTGAACACTCGTACGGAATCACGATTTATCTTGCTACGTCTTGGCCTCCCCAGCGATTTATAAAATTTTCAGAACCGCACGAACTTCGTGCTCGATTTACTAATGTCCCGTAATGAAATTACAGGTCGGCCCGCGGTGAAATATCATTTTGAACAGCGAATGGAACAGGGTATTTTGAATCGTGGGTACGTGTAATCTTGGATATGATGTGAGTTGTTTGTTGTAGTGAATTTTTGAAATAATGAACAGATAATTAAATACAAATAGATTTAACTGATGTGTTAAGTAATTATCTGAAAATATGAAACGTTTTTCTAAAGTGTAGCGTTTTCTTGCCATTTTTCATTGTCTCGTTAAATTATATGATTCTAAATAGATATATATTATCGATGAATGTTTTCGAAAAAGAGTTTCACTCAAAGCTAATGGTTCAAAACATGTCTTAAAATTTCGATTGTATGTCGTCTTGCTGATTACTTTTCTGCAGACTTTAAAATAAAGATATAATGATCGTTTATTTTATATATTAGTTTAAAAGAATTTTCCATAATTTTCTATAATTTTATCGGAAATGATCAAATTTATTTTAATGACAAATCTAATTTGCCTATATTTGTTATGATTTCATCTCTAATGATCAGATCCTCTGTCCGTTAACTTGACAAGAAACTTGAACTGCGCAAGGCTTTGATCGGTACTGTCATGGAAGAAAATGCTCGTTACGAGCGAATAATGGAAATGCGACGGTACCTAATATCACTGGAAATCCTTTTCCCAATATCGCAGAAACCTTAATGGACGATAATTCTACCAGACACAATGTGAATTGCGGGAAATATTATGCGTTTATTATTGCGCCGTTCGCATCCATGCTATGAATGAGAATATTTTGCTAAATAAATTTAATGACGTCCCGTCAGACTTTTAAAAATTTGGATAAGCGCTTTTTAAAAATTTCAAATATGTTCATTGATAAAAATTTAAAAATCACATAATTTTAATGAATATCATATCTGTTTTCTATTCACATTCACATTCACATTCACATTCAAAATTCACATTTACACTTGTATACTTTGTATACAAGTCAATATTAAATTTCTATTTAATAACATGCATTCTAATTGTAACATCCTTTACGGATCCCTACGAACATTTATTTTTTACAATAAAAATGTAATGAAAAACAGTCATTTTTCATGAGGATTAAAGTTTGATAATCAAACTCGGAGAAACGTATGAAATAATATAATCGAAAGGATTCTGAGTTTGTTCAATGGAAAGTTAACGATGACCTACAGGCAGCAAAGAACGAAGTTTAAAATTTATTTTCTTTGGAAACGCGCCACATCTAATATGATATATCGACCGAAGTTGTATGGAAGTGAAACAAAATTATTTAAAATTAAGTTGGAAAACGGTCATTTATTTTCAATGCTTCTTTGAGAAATATCTTTATTCTATGAAAATTCTTTTATTGGGGCCATGAAGAACAGAAAATAATGTATATTATGTAATTGGTAAGTTTGAGAAATAGTGTATAAAGAATTTTAATAAAACAAAAGCTAACATTAATTGTCTTTTCTTTGTATCCTCATTGTTATTAGTGAAGTACCATTTCCGAAATGCTGTTATGAACCAAATAGACTAAGTTTTTTATAAAAATTTTATTTAACGCAAGGGTTTAACAGCTAACGTATCCCATGTGGAGTAAAAAAATTAGTAATGAGTGGAAGTAATATCCGTTTAGTGACAACGAATGTCCAATATAGTTTATCAATCTTTTCACTGAAAAATCCAAATTTATATAACAGTGTAATTATCCAATTAAAGAAGCTAAGTTTATACAACAACGGTATGATTGGGGAATTAAAAAATTCAAGTTTATACAACAACGATAATTGAACAATTGAAAAACCAAGTTAATGCAGCTATATGATTGGACAGTTAACAGAAACTTATGGCATAATATAAATATAAATATAAATACATGTTAGTGATATATTTTCATAATGCTGCTCTCATAGGAGTCACATGCACAAGTTACCTTCAACCAAAATATAAAAACCTGTGAACGTTCGTCAGGACGAAATTGCAGGAACATTTCGGAATGGAAAAAAATCTAGTCACACGGGCAGTATACTGTGTGTTTGCTGAAAGGGATCGATTATGTCTTTTTCATAGGTCGAATAACGACTTTTCCTAAACGATTCTCGCATTCTTTGGCGCAGTGCCACCGGTCGACAGATCAATTGTCCACGCGATGACGTTAAATTGACCGAAATGGAGGTACAAGGGTCGACCAGATTGCGATTGCCTCGAGTACTTTCAATGACCGCGAAGGGGCTCGACTTCCGTCGCTTTCACAACTGACAGATACGATTGTGTATACACGTACTACACAGTTGGGCATGCTACGCAACGCCGTGTAAGTACCGCGGTATAATACTCGGCTACAATAGAGAATGAAGGGACGTTCATTTTCGTGTAGCTTTCGGATCTCTAGTTCCCTTTGCGACGGATAAAACGTCACTTGATTATCGCCCCCTCCTATTCACTTTTATATTCCTGCTGAATACATTTTCATTGAAAGCGTTACGGGGCAAGAAAAAAATTTCAACGTTGAAAATTTTACTAACTTTAATTCACAAAAGAACGAGGACACAAAGATTCACTCTTTTATCTGCAGTGGGTGGAAATAGTTTTTAAAAAAATACAGAACTTAGTTCTCCGGTGATAACATCCGGTAAAAAGGTAGGATATTTGTATAATATATATTTTCTAGGGCCTCATTGTACGTGTGAACAATACGCTCATTCAGAATTGTTAGAAATTTACTATTAAAAAATAATGTAACACAAACTTTTTTACTAGACCAAAGAAATTCGTATACAGAAATATACTTTGCCTATAGAAGAATAAAGTCGGGTTCCAGACTTAAGAAATCAGCAAAATAATACAATGAACCATATAAACATTCATGTTGGAATTCCGTTGATTGCGTGAAATTAGAACGAATCGCACAAAAACGAAATTAGGTGTATTGTATAGCTTAACAGGCGTTAATTGCAGGTGGACTGTACGGGTTAACGTTTCGAAAAACTCATCGTATTGCACCAAAAATAAAATGTTGATCTACAATGAACCTAACTACGGTGACAAGTCGTCGCTGCGGCGATTTGTTGCAAGCCGCTCGTCTACACCGGACCTTAATTAACGCATACATCGGTTCAATGCCATTAGTCACCCCCACGGCCTCTGCGAGACGCTATTGATGGTTGACACTGCCCGTTCCCGAAATCAGTTCCATAATTATACAGAGTGAGTTAATCGCGACGAACATGTAAAGCATCTCTTCATTGGTTGTACCACAAAATGTTTTAACACGTCAGCTACCGGCATCATATGTTTGCGATGAACATTTTGCGCACTGTGTGAAGAAAAATAAATTATTTTTACGTGTATTTTTATTTAAAATAGTAACGAATTATTTATCATGTAGAAAGTTGGCAAGGTTTTATTCTTGAATCTTGTTTGCACCGCATTAACACGTTGAGTGCCACGGTGGTCGTTTGTGACCGCACGTTCTTTGTTCTATAGCGCCACGGTGGCCATCGGTGACCAGAGCTTCAGAATTACGAGAAAATGATTATAGCTCGTAAGATAAGTGATGTCGAATACAAATGTTCGGTAGCGTAAGAATTGTGATATCAAATAATTAACGCTACATTTACGGACGTTTATTGTACACCTTATTCTACTGTTCTGAATAATATTATTGACTTAAACTGTTATTGAATAATGTTTAAAAAGTTCAATATCCATCAAAGTTTGAAAGTGCAAAATGATACAGAACTCTCGTGATACGAAAAAATATATAAAATATCCAAAGTGTAGTGCGTTTTATACGGTTTGTTAGAGAAAACCATTTTCCGCCGTAATTCCATTCTGCTAATTATATTCTTAAAAATTTTAATTTGTATGGAGATCCGCAATCTGGTCATAATCCTGCATACGAGACACACTGATAAATGGATTCGTGGACTGTGTGTTCAATTTTGGCCCAATAATCCTGCAGGTCAATTTCCATTTCTACAAGATCCGATAAGTTTCTGTGATACCTATCTATATTTAGTATTGATTTGCACCAGAAATATAAACTTCATTATTATTTAACCCTTTGAGTGTCAAAGAGCAATATATCGCTCCTTTATGCGCTTGCGAAAAATTTCTTTTCCAGTTTATTAGTAATAAAGGAAGTCTAACGTGTTTTTAGCATTGTGTAAAAATTTTATGAACTTTAGATCAAAATTGACCGAAATATAAATTTTTGTTTATAATCATGCATCTTTATTTAAAATTGTCTAACATTTTTCGAATATGTATGAAAATTTCCACTGACACTCAAAGGGTTAATGTACACTTTTTCATTATTACTTGTACAACACAAAAATACAATTCACATTTGAAAACATAAATTCTCCTTTAATAGTTATATTATTTTCTCATTTACAAAATTGGTGATAGATATTAGCACAACACGCAATAAAGAGTCGAATCACACAGTGGAACTTAGAAGTAAGTAGTTACACATAAGCAACCTTTACTAATCATCAGCTCGCAGTATTTTATTTACGTATATAATGCAAATTGCTGTTTGTGAGATGTATTCCACAGCTGCTCGTTAAAATCGATGTTTATTGTCAGGACTCAACGAATATGTCAAAATCATTAACAGAGATAATATCTTCCCGTTTGATTCCAGTCTTTGTAAATGATACGAAGAACATTTCAGTATAATTTATTAGTTTATTGAATTTTGCTCAGTGAAATAATTTAAATTCAAATAAATACAAATATCATTTTGTTTTTTTCGTATCATTCGTATGTCACATAGAATATTGATCTCATGTCTGTTTATTATAGATATCATA